ATAGAGAGAGAGAGAGAGAGAACAATTAATAACATGTTATGTACTCTCCTTAATGAATTCCTTGATGACCTTTCTAGTTCTTCCCCTTTAGCCCAATATTTTATTTGGCCTGACCCATCCACACGGCACATCGAAGTAAGTTGAGCATAATAATCAAAAAACAGAAAAACCTAACCAAAACCGATATAACCAAACCATAATAAATGGACCATTTTAAAACTGATGGTGCGGTTCTTAATTTTTTGTTATCTGATTAACGGCCGAGTTATAGTTTTATAGGTTAACCGAACCGGTAATTTTATATTTAAATATATACAAATTATAGATTATATATAAATGATTATGGTCTAAGACCAATTAAAATTTGGAAAAAAAATCCATTAATCCTAGATATCATGAGACAAAAATCGAAGGTTGATGACATTATTAATATAAGTTTTTCAAAAGCTTACAAACGTTGGTAGCCAATGTTGTATTTTAAAATAACGATCTGTTTTTTAAGATGATCAAACATTAACGTCCAAGACTATTTTTTAAAAGCTTACAAAGATTGGAGACCTGAGACTTTTTTGTATTTTTTTTAATTTTCTATACCAATGTACTTTCACTTTATATATTATTTTTGAACATTTTGATAACCAATATTAAACCATTAACCATAATCAATGTTAACCAAATTCCTAATCCTCCGGTGACTTCGGGATCTCTTTATCGGCGGGATCAAACACCGGTAGACTAGTGTTGATTCCCTGTTTTTTGTTATAATCTTCATCTCTCATTAAGGCTGTTTTACGATCTCTACCTAAGAGTTTACCGAGGATTGTGTCTTGTGTTTCTGATTGTTTATTGGGCCTTTTACTAGACCGATCAGATGAGTAGGAAAGAAAATTGGGAGTAGAAAATTGCTAATAAGAAAAAATCTGCATGGAACGTTGATAAAGTATCTACTCCATTCTTCTTCACGAATTTCCCTCTTGATGTGGACACTAAGAAGTTAAGGACTATTAGTAAAAAATATTGAAAAGTCTCTGATGTTTATATTTCCCGGAAACTATCCAAGTTTGGGAAACGATTTGCCTTTGTAAGGGAGGAGGGAGTCGTTCCCTCCCAACCCACCGAACCCACTGCCACATCAATTTTTGTCTCATCTTTTTCTTCATCTTTCCCAACCCACATAACACGAAAATCCTATCTTTTTGAACCCACTCAACCCACTCAATTGAAAAAAAAAATACAAAACAATTAAGGTACAAGTTTTAAAACACATGGTACAAGAGAAAATAAGAAAGAGAAAGTAGAGAG